GCACTCCACCTCGGGGAGGAGGAAAACTCTCAACTGCAATTACGTTCCGATTCGGGTGTGCAACGGGAAGCTTCACGTCAAGAGTGAATCTTACGGAGTACACAGTCATTTTGTTGTCACGCACGCACGAAATCGGTGCGTGCAATACGCATGTTTGAGGAGACGTGTGGCTTGTCGTGTGGCTCGGGTGAAGTTCCGTCTCTCTTTAGAACCGGGAATCGCCCCGGATATCGGGGGAGGGGGGGGGCGATTAGCAGGGATAGAGTCGAGCAGGGAGGATCCAGCCTCTAGCTGAAGGCTCCTTCAGAAGGAGTTCTTCGAGGACTTGGAAAAGTTCACCGAACTTCTCGCCGCAATTTCGGTAGCGTCAGGCACCGAAGGAGGCCGATGCGGAATTTGGCCCGCTGAAAAAGCTCAACTCAAATTTTGCTTCGCTCGATCCCGATCCGAGAAGCTGCAGTCCGAGCGATTCGGAGGAAGTTGGCGGCAATCGCCGAAGTTTCTCGAATGCCCTCTCCGCGGTTCGTTTTGCCGAGGCCGAATTGTGCCGCGACCCAGATCCTCGTGGTCGGGGAATTTCAATGCCGTCAATCAGATGGAGCAACTAAGAAAACGATTTCCAGAGCTCGATCGTAAGCTAGCCGGCCACTCGATTAGCCGGCACGTCTAAGTAAGGAGTCGAATGGGCGAATAAGTAGGTAATACGCGGGAGTGCGCGGGCGACGAGTCCGGCACGGGATCGACGACGCCCCCAAGGCATTTGAACGGGCCGCTTGCGACAAAGTCCCTAATCGAAGAGAGAACTCCCAGATCGAAATTGACCGTTCCGTCGTCGTTTCGATGTAAACGTGAGCAGCGATCCTTGAGAGGTCGGAGGCCTTCAATTTAAACTCGGGGCATTTTGTTCAATCGCAGGTGTCTTCTATTCTGGCTCGAGAGGAAATGCAACGCAAAGTATCACTTTGCCGTCGGTGCCGGGAGAGACGATCTCGCGGCCTTGGCGCTCCGCATCGGTGGTTAGATGCTCTGGTCAGTTGTTTGCTCTTCCGCGTTCGTAGATGCGCCTGGGACTGCGTGACTGCGACCGGTCCTCCGAGGAGACTAGCGCCGGCCTTAAAAGGCTGACTCAGTCCCGGAGCGTATAATACCGGAATCCGGAGAGGAGCTGATGACGAAAATTGCGTGCTGACCCCTAGCTTATTCGTTGGCGGAGTTTGCGGGCGATGAGGCGGTCGGCACCCTTGGACTTAGCGCGGAAAGTTCTGAGAACTCCTCGGAGCCACTCGATTGTGTAGCATTCGGAATGGCTCTCGAACTCTCGAGTGTCCGAGGGCTCCTCTGCAGCTGCGGCTGTATCGCACATCCTGCTCGCGCCCAGAGCTATCGAACTGTTAGAATCAGTGTATGTTCGACACTTAGTCCTGGACGTTCGTTTCCCCCGAAAGGGAGCTCTCCCCACAGAAAACAAAAGCAATTCCACGAGTATGGTTCCGCGATCCTCACCGGATCGGAATTCCTGTCGAACATCGGGATTAAGAGTCTGATTCAACGATTTCCGAGGTTTTCCCTCGATACGCTCCCTTGAGCTCGCCGTGCGGAACCCTCCCTCATCAGCGTCGGTCACAGCAAACTTGCAATCGTAACGATAGGAGGATCGTTCCGAATGTTGTCTGTGCTCATTGAGGAGTTTTACTGCTCCCTCCGCAAGCGAGCAGTTTGTTACAGAAAACCCGCTGTTAAACAAAGCTGTCATCAGGAGAAGATCCTTACCGCACATCTCGCGGGGGATGAGCGTATAAATCAGCGAGAAACCCATACTGGTCGGAGAAAATGCGGCCTCAGCCCAAGGGTGGTCCACACTCGTTCAATGATTGGGATTGCGGCGGAGACTGAGCTCAGGCGAGTTCGGAGCTATCGCTCAAATGCGAGCTGAGCAATTCATGGAGTCGGACGTATTATGGTTTCTGCAGAACTTTCCCGCGCGCTCGGTCTGTTCCTCGTAAAAGCGCGTCAATGGAGACATAAAACTGTCGAACGCCCTCGTTCTGCTTCCCAGGGACCATATAGAGCTGACCACGACGAGAATGGTGAGCCCAATACGCGGTCGGATGCTCTAAATTACGGTCCGGCGAACAGTGGACCCATCATCGCGTGACTCGAGCGGATAGTTCTCGGGGAGTGAAGAGCACGGGATTTTAAGAGCCAGACAATCCCCGATCAAGTCGAATCCGACCGCCATTCCAGCACTTGTCAACGATGTCTTTCCGAGACAAGTAAGCGTTCCGGATGCGGAATAACTTATTCACTCACAACAGAAAAACATCGCTATCATTCCGCGCTGGCGAGGCTCCGGATCGTGTTCAAAGTAAATTAGCTGCGCTCCCGAATGTGTGTGCTACACGATGCAGTTTTTTATTTGACTAGTAGTACGATAACGATTCTCGCTCGCGATCTAGTCGCGTATAAGCTGTCGTAGGCTCACTCGATCCGTCGGAGCGTGTTCGTCGGTTTTTATGGTTTCTATCGTTTGGACGAGGGGGGGAGCATGGGGAATGCACGGCACCAGATAGCTAGGAATAACTTTGAGGAGTCTGACGAACCGCGACGAAGAACGGCAGGAAAACGCAAATGAACCCTCAAGGTCTGGCCTGCGGTAATCGAATTATAGCTAACATACATACATATGTCAAGGGCGAACTCTTCGGAAGTTCTTGCTCCCCCGTGTTCATTCATCACCGTCATTATGAAGCTTTTATCGGATCCGGGACCCCCGAATGACGAAGAGAAATGATACGGATGCAAAGGTAACAAGGATCAAGCAAGTGCACCGTTGTTATGAACATCGTGTTTGTCCCGAACTCGTCTGCCGTAAGGCACTCATCAGCCCTCGGCACTGACTGACTAGGCCACTATCGCCGCCGCCGCCGCCGCCGCAACCACCAGCGCTGCCGCGCCGCTACCGCTGTTCCTCATACGGGAGGAACAGCTGTGCGTGCACACGGCGAAGTGATTTCGTTCGAGCAGTCCGCCTACTTGGCTCTAATTGTTGTTTGCTTTATCCTCAGGCTGTTCGGAGGTGAACCGGAGTTCGGCTTCGTCGGTTGCTCCCCGAGAGGCGAGAACACGATGGAACGCGCGGACGGGCGCGCGGCTCCCGATCCGCCCAGTCTGCGGGTTGCACCGAGCCTTTCAATATACGGTCAGGCGCCGAGGCGTCTCGGAAGGGATGTCAAGCTCATACGAACCTCCTGAGCCAAGAGAGAGAAGGTTCCAGAGACCCTTCGTGGTGGAAGCACGATCGTTGGAACACCGCGAGGACGAGCGCCGCATTTATCAATGCAGTAGTCGCTTTGATAAATCTCTCTGGCGCCCTTTCCCCCTGCCGAGAGGCTCTTTCTGCCAAACCCGCATTTGTTTCAGCATCGGCGATGGGATCAGCGGCACGGGCCTGATCTATTATTCCTCTTCCTATAGGCACATTATACGCTCAGGGACCCCTCGAAAAGCCACAGAACACTTGAACTTCCGGGGCAGCGTTTCATCATCGAATGAATGAAAACAGCGCTCAAAAGCCGATCTCTCCAGGCTCCTTCTCGCCGACTTTTGTCTCACGCCCGCTACCGACCTGGGGCTAGTGTGCGCTTCTCGCGCGATCCGTCAATGTATCAGAGCTGGTCCTACGCAATAATGGCGGAAATTCAAGCTTGATAGTTCGAGGACTGGCGCGGCCTGCCCCGCGATGCTGCCGAGTCGGTGGGTTGAGTGGGTGAACGGGCGGCATGGAGCCGCGTAACTCAACGCTGTCAAGCCCAGCCGCTGCCTGGGGCATCGGGTGACCCATGTTCAATGTATATTCCAATAGCGCTCATGACTCGGCTCGGCCACGCGTGCTTTCCGGGATGAAATTCTCGTCTTTCACTTCTAGGCAAATTCTCCCGGCGATCCCTCCCTCCATCGTCTCGATCAGAATTCGTCCTGCCCTGGTCTGTCTGAAAGTTCTGGCTCCCCTCGGACATCATGACGTTATCAGCATGTCCGGAAGCGGACTCGACCTTGAAAGTTCTATCCCTCCGAACGGGGTCCGAGTTGTGGCTCGCGCTTTAGCGAGGACCGACTCGAGCACAGGTGTCTGAAAAACCGTTGGTGACGAAACGCAGCGTCCGCTTGTCGGGCCTGTCGTGTAATTCTAATGATCGTTAATAGAGAACACTGTAACAGGTTCTCCCGTTTCCGTACGGCAATTTGCTTTGTCGCTCCCTGTGAAGATCCATGGAGCAGCGGAAGAGGCCTCCTGCTCCGAGAGGCTAGCGGCATATTTCCATGTGTTGTCCTAGTCGCAGACATGAGCCTACCTCGAATACATGGAGTGGAAATGTTTTCCAAAAAACATCATTCTGTAACATGGAGGACCAAGCAACAGAATACCGTATAACTTCGAGCTCTCTCGAGGCAAGGCCCCTGAACAAGGGATGCGCATCTGTCAGTTTGGAGACCTTTTGCAGTAAAGGAAATCTCGCTCATTGTATGTATAGAGGACGTCACAAGGCAAAGGAAGTGAAGCCAGATGAGGCTTCCTCCGGCCGAAGCGGAGAGGAACGGTGGAAGATACAAAAACGAAAATTCGAATTAATATGGGAGGCCTCTGGGAAGCTCGGTAAAAAATCGATCTCCCCTTTTTTGTCAGAGGAGCGGAAGTTTCAGACGCGTCGCCGGAAGGTTACAGCCCACTGTCCCGAAAACTCATTGGCCCGAAATCTCAATGGCCCGAAAAACCATTGTCCCGAACGGTATCTGTCCCGAAAACTCATTGGCCCGAAAAAATGAAAGCTCAGCGTTGCTTCTATGCAGAGATGTGCATCTAGCACATTCTTTTCGCTCTTATATTATGTCATATTATTACGTACAATCACAGGGGGATCACAAAGAGCCACGGCTCAAGACAACCAACGTCTTGAATCGATGGAATTGATACAGTTGAGTGGTTACAGCCCACTTGAGTGTCATTGGGAGTACAACGTGTGCGAACAACGTCTGAGGTATTCTATGAGAGTGATTTCATGGTTTTCATATTGTCGTACGATGCGCTCCAGTCTTTGATTTAGGAGTATGTATTTTTTCCGCAGCGGCTTCGGAGGGTGCCCGACGTCCAATAGAAGTCTGTCCGACTTGTGCTTGCTCTGGTCCTGTTTGAGATGGCCTATCAAGACAAAGATGTTCACGTGGCTTTCCTTGACCATTCGATTCAAGGCACTATGCCATGCTTCGATATTATTTGTCGTGCGCGGTCCAAAAGTTTCTAAGGGGAGGAAATTGAAGGATAAGGCAACTCAATCATTCGTACAGTACCATCCGGACCACGACAAATCATTTGAGAGCTCTCACCCATAATGGTTCCACAACCGACGGGGAAAAACCGTCTCATTCTCCAGCCATGTGTGTATGACATACTCTTTGAGCTCGTCCAATTTGGCATACGCAGCGTGATCAATAGTGGGAGATTCACTCTGAAGCTCCAACCACGCATCATCGATGAGATGCTCCGGTACTAAACTTAGAGCCATCACGCCTTTGACGAAACTGCGGATCAGAGTCGATTGAGTAATGCTGCCGAGCTCAAACTTATATATATGCATGGTTGGATTGTTTCCATCACTGGATAATTGATCTACCTCCTGATGCTCGGATCGTTATCGTAGAAGGTTCGGAGACCGACCTGCTGGGTTTTCCTCCATATCGCTTGAGAAAAATGGAAATTGCATCCCTTTACTTCCGTTCCTGGGAGCGACTCTTCGATTGCCTTCAGACTTGAAACTTCAAAGTCTAGTTGCATCTTTGGAGGTTGAAAAACCATATGCCGTGTCACAGCGAAGGTCTTCAGGAGCGTAAACATTCGGATGTAAGTTTCCTTCTGTTTATCAGGGAGGAGAAAATACACGAGCGGCATCATTTGCCCCCGATATTGAGCGTGGAGCGTATAAAGCTGAGCGAACAGATGAGGCACGACCTTGAAGGTCCCGTCCATGTAAATCGCGTCAGCACGACAGAGGATCGTCATAGCTTCTTCGGTCGAGAAACCGAGGATTCTGTCCGTGGTTCCATCGTCAAAGACTAAGAAATCCTCCCCGTCCAAGGTTCTTGTCCACGTATCGCGAAGCACGATATCAGACCGACTTAACGGCAGCACCGGTCGAACCTTAGCTCGCTGTCGATGCAAGGAGCTTCGAACCTCTTCAAAATTCGGCAAAGCAGCGCCGATCTCTTCGGCGGCGTGATCTTGTCGAAGATTTGCAATACTCCGAACGAGGACTTCCTGATACACTTGTTTACATGATTCGTCCGGTCGAAGCAGAAGCGTTCGTTTCATCTCTGTCTTTGCAGCGCGTCTGATGCGATCACGACGTTCCTCTTCGTGATTATGAGTCCCGGACGTCCTGATAATTTCGGCATCGGCTCCCTTGGAATAGCGAAACGGAGACTCAGGCGCGTTTTCAACTTCGTATACCCGGAATATCACGATCGATGATCTGTTAGATTATCTATCAGGGATAAGTGAGAATCTATACCTTGACGACTATGATTCGAGCAGAACAACCGTCCGACTTTTTTCGAATGCACCGACAATAATGTTTCTGTTCCTTCTTTTTGTCGACTTCGAAGAGGAAATCGTTGACACGGTAGAGACTATTCGCCCAAGCGGACTCGATTTCTTCCGGGATCATCTTCCCGTCGACGCGAGAGACACAAACGATCGCGCAAGAGTGACTTGCGGAACATCCACATGTCACATTCAGTCAGCTGCTGAAGCCCGCGCAGAGAGGATTAAGGATAGAGATAGAGAGGCGTAGAAGTCTCCACTGCGGCTCACTCGCCACATCTCCGCATAGAAGCTTCGCTAAGCTCTAAATTTTTCGGGGCAATGCGCTTTCGGGACAGATCCCGTTCGGGACACTGGGTTTTCGGGCCATTGAGATTTCGGGCCATTGACTTTTCGGGCCAGTGGGTGCACACCCGCCGGAAAACTGGCAATGTTATTCCTCCCGGAAACCGGCAATTTTTTTTTCGAAAGGGAGACTAGGTGTACCTACATAGGAGAGGGGGTGCTCGTTCAGAGGAGTAATCTTCGTCGATTCTGCCCGCAGTCCCCAATCCCCGTTCCTGAAGTCGAATCTCTCGAAGCTCCGGTCTGTCAACGAGCTCCGAGGATTGATCGGGAATTGGAGGATATCATCTCATCGCCGGTAATTCACAGAAAGCATGCCCTTGCCGATCGGTGACAGAGAGGACCCTTTCGGGAGAGACACTCCTCTCCCGGGCCAAAGCAGCTCAATCCCACAAGAACAGAGGATTCAAGAGGGCGCTCGAAGGCAAGAAGATGCGGAGCTCGGAGAATAGTAGGGAAGAAAGGCATGAGCGGATCTAATTTAGGCGAGTCGACGCCCTCCCGTGCCAAACGTCTGCTCTCAATGCGAGTCGAGAAAGTTACACTGACAGGGACAACAAGGCGGACAAGAAGTTTCGCACTGACAAAAGAGTCGAATTTAAAAATATATCCTAGTCGCCCCACTGATATACATGCGCAGTGTAATGAGCTACGTCGCCGCTGAAAGAAAGTCTATGGAGAGTTCAGAAGCTTTCGCTAATTGCGGAACATCCCACCATCGGATCGAAAGCATCCATAAGAAGCAGAGGATCGTCCTGGGCGGACTTCAATGGACCGATTTGCGGCGGAGGGACCCGATCAAGATTTCGACGGAAATTCTCGTGAGAGCCTCGATGATCTGCCGACTCGTCCAGAATTTACTCATTCGCTCAATTGGTCGAATGTTCCGGGCCCTCGAGCGTACAGCTCGTTCCAGCGGACGATCAGGGAGCTCGGAGCGCTCGCTTGGGTCGGACAGGCTCGACAATGAAGCGAAGAGGTTACTTATAGGTGCGGATGCAACCGCAGGCGTGAGACGTGTTTTGTGCAAACAGGTCCCTTCTTAGACGACAACCACGGTTGCGGCGGCGGCACCGTCGACGTGCAGCTTAGACAGTAGTAGAGGAGAAGGCAACCGATTCTCTCCTAGTTCATTCGGTCCCTGCCTCGGTTGCTTACTCGCTGCCTGGCTGGCTGTACGTTCGTTAAGAGAAAGCCTCTGACAACTTGCGTAAGCTCTGTGGCGAAATGACTGCACAACGCGAGTCAGCATTAGTCAGGCAGCTCATGAATTCGCTTAACCAACAATGTAGAATCTACTGCGAGCTCGCCCGTCAGCTGCAAGAGTTCATCATTGAGCCAATTTGATATAAAGCCACCTCTGGGACGGAAATTCCCGAGGGTCTCATCGACTCCGTACGAATTAAAAAGGGAGAGCGCTCCTTCCTCCAAGGTCGGCGGACGGTAGGCACCGTCTGCACGCGTTAGATCGTTACAGTGATGATGGCACCGCTCCATGTCGCCTACTGCGCGTAGTCGAATCTCCAGATGTGATTCTGGACAAGAAAATCCTTGTATGTGTTTCATCATCGGACGGATTTCTGTTCCGAGCACAAGAGTCAACGCGGACGGGAACATTCAGCTTTCGGTTCAGGTCCCTGGCACACTTCGATAACATAGGTGAAGCAAGAAGAATCGATCATTTCCGGGACATCGGTTGCTGGCGGTGCTACGCGGCACGAGAGAGGAAAAAAAACCGAGCGAAATGGAGGCCTTGCGGTTCCACGGAGAAAAGGAGCATACGTCTTTCCTCATAAGATTTTGTTTAAGAGAAAAATTGTCGAAATTCGATGGAAATTCGCAAACGTCTCCAGACGATTTGTCAAGCAGCGTTTCCCGGCACCGCTCGGTGCATGTCCAGGAGCGGTTTACGTCGTTCTGAACCGCGCCGACATTCCCCGAGTTCTCCCGCCAGCCAACACCTGGCCGGATCGGGTGGATCTCTCGTCATTGGAGTTGACTCCAAGCAAACTCTTGTCCGCTGCGGCACGCTTGTGCAATCGCGATGTTTCCGTTTTGTAACTCTACGGTCAGGATTTTATTACAACGAGTGTTATACTGTGTGCCTCCCTCTCACACTTTCGGGAATGAGGCCCTTCCCTTCAATTTCACTTCCTCCCCGACGATTCGGGGGGATACGCGAACGCGCCGACCTTCAAGTGAAGAGGCGGGCGAGCAGGAATACGCACGGACAGAGCGGATCGGGTTGTGAAAGGAGAACACGTCTCCATCGTCCGATCCGCTTGTCCAGAGGCGGAGCTCCGTGAGATCATGACCTGATTCATGAACGTCGTGACGTTCGTTTCCCTCTTGACCTTGCTCCATACAGAGGATTTAGGAACCTAATGCCGAATTATTCGAACCTTTTGCGTGTACGGCGGCATCGATGGCGATGGCCATCGAGAAGAGGAGGATTAGCGTCCTCGTGAACATCGTTGTACGTATCCTGTTCTGGCCGAGAAGGACGGTGCGGAATCGGCCCTGGCTGTCACGATACACTTTGCATATTCACTCCACACGAGTTGTCACTTCACTGTCGTTTCTCTTCCCGACACGATACGGATGGGAGAACACGTCGGAAAAAACCTCAATAATTTTGAGCGTCAATCTACTTCAAGAGTGTTCGTCTTGAGCGATGAGTCGCACGAGAACCGCCGCCTGAAATTGCTTAACTCGATATGGTCGAGTTGACGATCTCAGCGTCGGAGGAATACGCACGTGTTTGGTTCGGAACGAGAAGAGGGCGCGCTCGCCGGCTCGCCACGTTCACCAAGTGGGGACCGCTCTTGAACAAGGCGCTCTCACGTCTGGATGCCCCCGTGTTCTCGCTGTACTTCCTGAGGGAGCGGATCCACAGCGCCCTCTGTCCAACCCGAGCCGAACGTTGCCGGCAAGCCTCGGAAGATGCGACAATGCATTGGTTTGGCATCGATGAGCTTCAGCATTTTTTCGGTCACGGTATTCTCTTTTCCTCGTGCCTCGATTATGCCGAGCGTGCCCTTTCGCCCGTCCACGCGCCTACTCACGAAATACTTCTTCCCACAGTCGCCTTGCAACTTTCTCGCTACCAAAGCCCTTGCTCATCATTATTACTTCGCCAGAAGTTTTTTCTCCAATGCAACTCGAGATCTATCGCACGCGAGCTTGTCTTCGCAACGAAACATCGGATACAAGGTGGCCCCCGACCCGACAGGGCTCTGTCAGTTCTCCGGGAAGAGCGGCGGTGCCTCTTTCTCTGTCGAGCTGACCCCGGCCTAAGTGTGTATTGTTACTTGGAGGCCGTTATTTCACTGATGATAACTAGACACCGCACGAACTGGAATATTCAGTTGTCTCCTCAAAATTTCCGCAACCCTTCGCCGTCGGTCGCTCGGACGGTCGGCGACGGCTGCTTCGAAGGCGTTGCTTGTTGGAATAGCGGTGGGCGGCGAGAAAGAAGAAAGCAGGCCGAAGCAAAAGTCTCTTACTGGAAGCCATCACCGTTTCGCACGTTCCTCCTCTGCGAACGTTTCGGCTCCTCTTCTCCGTTCAAAGGGTCTCGAGGGAACTCGGCGCTCTGCTCACTCACTTATTCGTTCGTTGCTTCGCTCGCTCGACGCTCTCGCCGAGCTTCTCGACTGATCTCTCGCCTCCGTCCAGTAGTCTGCAGTTTTCTGTCTCCAGTTGGACTTCGAAGACCATTTTTATTTCTCAAACTATTCAAATCACTCCTTGACAAGCCGATTCTGTATCGGCGCATACACCGGTCTTCCGAATACGGCTGCGTATCCTGCTCCCTCATCAGAGAGCGCGTAAGGAATGATCGAGCAATGGATGAGGACGAGAAGGGGCGAGGAATGTCCTCCGACAGTGGAAACATCACGAAACGCCCCTGAAATTCGTTCACGCAGGTCCGAGCCGCGCCTTCGACAAGACGAACGCCCCGCGAAAGAGAAGTAGATTTTGCGGAATCTTCTGGGAGGTCGTGCACATTCTCGAAACATGAGATTTATTCATACAGAAAACTTCCTAAGGTGCGAAGGCTCACGTCATCGTCTCCAAATTCACACTTGGGGACATTCACACGGATCGGGCGATTGAAAGAGCTCTCTGGAAAACTCTAAGGTCGGAAGTGCGTACTTTCCACAAGGAGAAAGAACGTAGCGTGTCGTAGATCGACAGCCGTCTCTTCGAGAGAAGTGTTCCATTATCGGGAAACAATTTGGCTGGATGAGTTGTCCCTTTGTCGATCTCCGTCACCTGCCTTCCAGCGCATGTGGGGAGAGAGGGCGCCGGCCGGCGTTCTCAGCTCGGCACGTCGGATGACATTCGCCGACCTCTTCTTCAGAGTGTTTCATGAGAGAGTGATGGGTACATCGGGGATGAGCATTATGTTCTCGGACTAAGCATTTCACAGGTCTTCTTTCCGTTACGCTCTTTCGGCCGCGACCCCTCTCGACGACTCGACCCAAGGCCGGCATCGGTGACAGTGAGGTTCCGGTGCCCGTCTTGCTTGAGCTGCGGTAAGAGTGATAAAATTAATTTTTTCCTGACGCAACACGGGACGACACCTTGGGGATTCTTCGCGATATCGAATATCGATCATGTCCCGGACCCTCGAGACGGAAAGCTTCCGTTCTAATCGAATATGATAGCATACCGAGCGTCTGCGCCGCATTCGTTCGACGCGACGCTCTGAGGTCGATGTGCGGAAGTCTCGGATCCCAAATCATCTTCCTAGTATTGTATCTCTCAATCTAT